GACCAGGAGATCCATCCGCGGTAACCTGGAACACATCAACACGGAGTCACCCCGCCAAAGCATGGAGTCACTTCTTCTCATGCTCGCCAACCGGAGGCCCGTCACTGTGCTCACGAGCCTGATGAAGGTCTCTCCACCAGGAGACAGGTACTGGCCCCAAAAGCCATGAGGGCTTGCTCCCCGATGAGCAAGGCCCTCCATCCCACCACGTCCTGCGTGGCTGACCCAGGCCATGCTGCCGTGGCCGAGGCAGCCCTGCTGACACTCTGCCTTGCAGTGGTAACGTGGCCGTTTTTGTTCTGCTTCAGCAGCCTTTGGATAGGATCTTCAAGCAGTTCGACACCTGGCTCCAGCACAAGTTGCGTTGCAGGCTTGTCTCCAGGACAGACACCTGTAGCCATCACTTGCTTGTGAGTTACCAGAAAAGACCTTGACAACCCTCAGCGAGCCCTGCAGCCTCTGCTGGTATCTCACTGCTGTCTTTGCTTCAGGTGACGGCCCCCAGCGAGCTCCAGTTGGAGGCTGTTGGTGATGAGTCCCAGGCTGAAAGCAATGAGAGTCATGCAGTCCTGATGACCCTCTCTCTATTCCTCAGAGACCTCATCAATCTGTCAGAAAATTTTTACTTGGTGAGCAGAGCATCGTCAAGGGGAGCCGCTGTTGGCTGCGAGGGCTGGGGCAGTGAGTGGGGCGGTGGCTTGGCCTTGGCCAAAGGGAAACTCTGTCTCTGATACAGGCAAGAAAAATGCAGGCCCTCCTGCCGCGCATCGTAGACATGCTCAAGTATGATGACCCCGATGTCACGATGACGGTCCTGGAGCTCTTCAGAAGCGTGCTGGATCACATGACCTGGAACAAGGAGAGCCCCGTTGCTATGCTGCTGGAGAAGAAGCTCACACCCCTCTTTGACCATGTAAGGCTGATGGGGGAGCCTGAGCCCCGCAGATGGGTGCCCTGCAAGGACGGCTTCTCCTTGCTGCACAATCTGACTGCGGAGCATCTCCGCTCACCTCAGCCATGACAATGCCAACGCTCTTTCTGAAGTCCACCTCTCTTCCTTCCCACCAGGAGTCCAGATGGATGCGGGAGCTTTCCCTCAGCCTCTTCCAACTTGTCCTGCAGTCAGTGGTGGGGATTGAGCAGAAGGTGATGAAGAGCACAGTGTGGTCGTTGCTCATCCCGCTCTTCTTCCACATGAGCGACCAGGCCTACAACGTGGCCCAGGTACAGATTTCAAAGCTAAG